GGGGGGTTATTATTGCTGTTCTCCCTGCTCATTCATGACAGGCTGCATGGATGGGCAGGGAGGTTTTTTTGCCCAGAACAGAACCATACCGCCAAACCAAACTTTATGCTAAGTATCTATCATTTTGACGATAGTGGTCCTGACAGAAATTAAGCTTTAGCGTTAGTTCTGGCAGGTCACGTGAGTCAAGCTTGCATCAGCTGATTCTCAGCTGATCACATCTACCTATAGGAATACGACACCTATTGCGGCATTCCTATACAAGCTGTATTCAGTATTATTCAGCAGCTTTTCAGCTTGCTTCGGAGCAAATTACCCTCCTCCATCCCCAGCTCCACCTTTCGCCACAGTCAGGATTTAGCTTTCTGATATTCCTTGCTAATCAGACTCCTTTATCTTGAATAAAGTGTTACACTTAAATATCATTGAGTACATTAATGATATCTGCCTTGTTCTGTTCTGTTAACCCTGGGGGGGGGTTATTATTGCTGCTCTCCCTGCTCATTCATGACAGGCTGCATGGATGGGCAGGGAGGTTTTTTGCCCAGAACAGAACCATACCGCCAAACCAAACTTTATGCTAAGTATCTATCATTTTGACGATAGTGGTCCTGACAGAACTATTATTCAGTTTAATGCAATAAAATGTAATGTGGTGTATAAACGACATTCTTCTCTTGTTCCGTAGATTATGCAGATTATAGTAGGACTGCTCAATCTCATGACAGGGATTTTATTTATAAGCTCTGGAATACACGACTACATTATGATGTGTAATGCTCCATTCTGGCTTGGGGGTGTGGTAAGAAATATACCTCATTCTGATTATTCTTGAGTTTCTAAATTGTAAAATGAGTGAGTCCATAATGTCAGTCAGAGTGAATGATCAATGTTGATGACATGAATTTCACTTTTTTTTTAATGTTGGGAAGTTGGTTGATTTTTAATACCCTAATTAATTTTGTGTGATCTTTTGATCTATTTCAATCGACAAATGTAAATAATTCCGTTATTTCTTTGCTTTGCACTTTAGTTCCTTGTAGTTGGAGTGGTGTCTATTGTTGCAGCTTGGTTTCCAAGCTATTTTCTGGTAAGCCTTTAATAATCACAAACTGTAGTTTGCATTCAGACTTGGGTATTTTTATTTTTTTAAGATGTCATCTCATTGTGTATTTATTTTGTGTATTACAGCTGCTCGTCACTGTGGTGTTGAACAAAGTCAGTGCTCTGCTGGCTATGATAGGCCTTGCACTGTATGCATGGGACTTAATGAGCTTTACGGTTGTTATGCACTATAACGAAATGAACTATGACAAGGTAATTATTCTTTGTTTTCTTTAAAATGACACAGGTCTCAAATGAAAGAATGTAAATCGACAAATGTAAATAATTTTCTTTCCACTTTCAAGAAAACTTGAGCCACTTTCAAGAAAAAAATTATTTATTTTTCAATTATGATTCCAGGTCTCACACAGCCTATTTATACTTTAATTTAATTTGTTTAAGTTTTAATAGTTTATTCATAAATATGAACCACAAGTACATTTTTATTTTCCAATGCTATTTTCATATTATTATGGATGCATTTTAATTTCTTAATTAATTGAGATTATTTTATTGATAGCCCTAGGTTTTAACAGTAAAATATTAAAACATAAAATCTGCATATTTTGTGGAAAAATGCAGGAAAAAATTGTGGAATTTAAGTTCTAAGCGGTCACCTCACTTTCCTCGCAACAAACACAACAGTCATACAGTATATTATCTGTCAAACAGCTTTGAAATGAAATGTATTGTTATATTTTATATATTGTATAGTGCTATACAAATAAATTGTAATTTTTTTCAGGTTTATCTAAGATTAGTCTAAAGCATAATGTATATTTCGGTTTTATATGCGTATGCGAGGGTCCCTGTACAGTCAACAGAACAGCTACTATACACTCACCACCCAATTTTTGTAACCGTGCATACATTGTATGCACAGGTAGCATATGTGCATTGAATTTGTTTCACACTAATCAGTTAATGGAATAACAAAGATATTTTTATGTCATAACTTCTGGAGAAAAATAGAGCAGACACTGGACAAAGATGAAACATTCTAGAGTGCATGTGTCAACCGTATGGATCAAAAGAGTTCGGATAAGCATGTGCGCTAAGTTATGGTTAATGATATCTAACTTCTTGGTTAAAATGGTTTTCTTCTTGTTGTTTTTTTTTGGGGGGGGGGGGATTTGAGACTCCTGGTGCAGGAATTCAAATTGCTTTTATTCCATGACACACTGATATTTCCCATCTCTAGATGATCCGTGAAACACTGGATATCACTATGATGATCTTTTCAGCTCTTCAGCTCTGTGCGACCCTCAGTTTCTCTGTCTTAACTCTGAAAGAATTATGTGAGACAAATGTAAGTGCGAAGGTGCAGTAATTACCAGCACAGTTACAACTGACAAACTACAGTGATCATAGTGATTTCAGAAAGCTGATCAGTGCACTAATGTTTCTGTTTGGTTTTGCAGTCTGTGGAGGACCCTCAACTTTACAAACCACTCAAAGAAGAGCTCACTGTCAGTCATGTATGTTAGACAGACAATGTAAAAAATGAAATATGCATTGTTAATTGAACTAGCTTTGTGATTATAGAAGTACACTTTTTCTCTCTCTTGTGAAATAGCAAATATCTTCTATCTGCAACTCCACAATCATCGTGGTACATGTTTATCTTTGGTCTTGATTATTTTATTTTTTTTTTCCTTTAGCTGCTTTTTGAAAATAATGACTGGAATTAAAATTTAATGTTGATACATTTTTAACACCAAGTTTATATTCTTTACACATTCAGTTCATTTAAAATCTTCATTTCTCATAAGGGACCTTCATCAAAGCTTCTTTCGGGAGGCTTAGCCTTAGATGCATTGGATTGCCTAAAGACTAAAGACCATTTACTGTGTATTGGGCAAAAAGATAATAATAAATAAAAGATTTTATCATGCATCATGCACATGGTCTCCTCTTCTCAGCACAACTTGTATATTATGTGATGCATGTTTACGCAGAGAAACAATTTAACTTGAGTTTGAACAAACAAAAGTCAGTTCAGCTGTCATAAATAGCAATAAAACAAACCAGTGATGTGGAACGTGTTTACTTGTAGCATCCATGTGTTTTCTGAAATCATAGTTAAGCATAGTTAATTTCACACTGATATCCATAGTTTCATTCATTTTCAAAGGAGTTTGAAACAGGGTTAGTGAGAGTGTTCTTAGGGTTTGTAAGAGTAATAGGTTATTAATATTTTAAATTTAATACAAGACACAATGAAACTAAGTGATATTACCAGAATTTATTCATTAAACTATTAAAGTATTAAGTGCTAAATATACAGTGACAGCACTGAAATACTGTAGCACTCATTGCTCATTGTGCACATTAGATAGCTTACTGCTTTTCTGAACAGGGAAGTAAAACTGTATAATCAATATTTCGTCTGCAATACATTTTGTCCTAAATAAAAGAAACCAAAGGATAACAAGAACAAACTCAGATGTTTATAGAAGACTGTTTATCACAAGGTCACCTCACAGAAACAGTGGTCGTGATGTTCCTGTCACAAACTGGACAAATCAATTGGCTTTTTTAAAATATAAATGAATGTTCCATTTCCATGATGTTTACAGTTTCCTGGTTAAGGAAACCATTTACTTTACACTATTATCATGAAAACTATATTATAATATTTTCCATGTTCATACAGTATTAATAATATACTATTTCTATCATCACAACTCTCTGTATAGTTTACCATGTTAATGGATATGACAGTGTTACTGTATTTGGTCTTGGAGGAGTAGATCTGCTACGTTGCTGCTGCTGTTTGTTATTACTGCTGCTGCAGAGACTTGCTACTGTCATTACTTTCACAGACACACTGCTGTGAGCATGTACTATATAGCATACATGAAATTACCTGTAGCAGATCTAAACAGGTGGAGCTGGGGAAGGTGGAGGGTTTAAGAGGAACTCTGATAGTTCTGAATATGGACCCTTTAGGTACAAATATGTACCTTTGAAAAGGTACCACCCCAGTGACAGCTGTTGTACCTTTATTTCTGAGAGTGAGTGTGTGATTTTAAACACTGTTCATTAGTAATCAAATCTCTTTAAACACTGCGACTGTAATGATTAACTGAGCTGAATGCTTGCTAAAAACCCATGAACCTCCTCTCACTTGACTTGATATATGCATTTTGACTATCTTTTGCCCCCTCACATTCATGCCATGCATTGGAACACAATAAGTTCAAGGCCACTGCTGAACCACTAGCTACTAAAATCATTATGAATGATGGACACTGCCTGCCAATGCCATGCTCAGATTTAATTGGAATCAATCTAAATGACTTTATATCTGGTTAAAATTGTTTGTCTCCATGATTTAGTAAGATAGCTTTCATCAAGGGAGGCAAAAGAGATGTGCTGTAAATTATTTTATTCTAGATTTTTCTCCTCTGAGAAAATACCAGTAATAAAGGATCAGTTAAAACTAGAACCTAGTGGTGCAATTTTTGTATTTATGTAACACACATTTTCTTAGAGTTCCTGTACATTTAGTTTTTGTTTAATATTAGTACAAAACATATTTATTATAAGCATTTTAAAACATATTTTAGGATATCTTCACGATATTGGAATTGTTGTGGTATTCCTAAAAGCAAGCAAATCTGCACTTCCAGGTTGTTGCGGCAGAGACATTATTTATTTTCATTAAAGGGACTGTTATCATCTTCCCTCACATGCTACAGGATCAAAACAGCATAAAGTATTTTTGAAAAAAATTAATTAGGAGTTTTCAGACTGAATGTTTGAACCCTATAGCTAGAATTGAAAATGAATGGATGCCTCACAAGAGCATGACAGAAAACTGGAACTTGACAGGATGTCCCCTGTCTCCTGTATTGATTGACAATCTTGGCAAACAGACAAGATGAGAAAACACAGATTTTATTAACAATATACACTTTATTTATATGCTGCTGATACTGTATTAGTGTATCTGTCTAACCCTGACATATTTGACACACATTTGGCCTTATCTGAAGTATTTTGATGGTTCTTGTGCATTTTGGAAGACAGGTTATCTGCTGTGTTTGGTTGTGTTAACATTATATACATTCTATATAGGATTCCCCATCTGATGCATGGTGTCTACAGATCTTTCATGCAAAGCACCATGGTTTGTTACCAGTGAACTTTGACCTGTGTTTCATTCCATGAGGTCCATATTGGTAAAAATGAAATATTTCAATAGAATAGGTAATGAACGTCTTTAATCAGGTTTTATGTATTAATCAGGTTTTATGCAATATTTATGCAGGGTTTATTTAAATATGTATACCTACTATAGTCGATTATTTATTTAAAATAAAATAATAATGTAAGATTCAAAATGATATTTTAGTATTCTTTGATAACCTTCAAATTGCTACTGGTTTAAATTATATTACAAGCATACCTGTATGTGTAGTGTGAGTAACTTTCTACATAACGTCTGGAAATGATATATTCTTGTTTTATAATAAAAAAGAAAGAAAGTAAAAAAATATTTTTCACTGTTCCTTGTGATTTAATACGTCATGCATCGGAGAGTTAAAATGGAGGAAAGAATTGGACATTCCTAAGCAATGGGACACAGTGTGCACTTTTCAGCACACTTCCACAAGCTGGTGTTGTTTGAGTTCTGCTGGACAAATCGGACACATTTTTATTACCTCAGAAATTAAAGCTTCACAGACTAGTGCTGGGGAAACTATGGTGGAGAAAGACTAAGTTGTCACTGAAAAAGTTACAAGTTAAAATAAGAAAAATCTTAACACTTAAATAAATAACCATGTTCAAATAACATGCAACTATAGGGATGTAAAAGTCAGGAGTCTCCAGTTAAAGCAAGTTAATATTGAAATGTTGCTTTTAAGAACAAAATGTCTCAGTTACGCATGTAACCCTTGTTTCTCGCAGGAGGGAACGGAGACGTTATGTCAACACTGACGTTAGGGGTCTCACTTGGGAGCCCCAATCACCTCTGAGCATTACGAGAAATAGCCAATGACAATTGGAGAGTGGAATTTGTATACAAAGCCATTCCCCATATATATAGGTATATAAGATGGTAGCGTGCATCAACTCATTCAGGTTTGTGCTGAGGAGGCGAGTAAGCGTCCCGGCATTCAGCGCAGTTCACAGTTGTGGCATGATGGACATAATGTATATGTTCCCTCCTTCAGGAAACGAGGGTTACATTCATAACCGAGACGTACCATTTCAGTCAATCACGTTCGATGTTACGTCGACACTGACATTAGGGGTCCCTACGGAAAGCACCACAACTAGAACTGTTTTACGGAAATTGAAGGTGGAGGTGCTGACAAGCAAGCGTGTCAGGACAGATGCACCTAAATTTTTTTACCTACCCAATGCCCCATAAGCCAGATCACATGACAAGTATACGGGCTTAACAGGGTAGCAGAAAAAAGGGGTGTTCCGACATTCTCGCAATACTGGATTTTAGCAACCGTTGGGGTGCGGAGACACATCCAAATAGGAATGTGAATATTAAGACTGGTACAGCACCATCTGACAACTGTCGTGACCCGAGTTCGGGAGCACACAACAGGAACTGACAGTGACAAACTGTCCAGGGAAGACACAGATTTACTAACGGATTTATTAACGGAAACCGTACTGTGAAAAAACATACAGGATTGCCAAGGGAATCTCATGTATGGCACCAAGTCCAGTAAGAGGGGGTGACTAATGGCATGCAACCCAAATACTGGACGTGGCAACAGACTCCTCCGCTAAGTCTGAATGCCACAGGGTGTTGGAGGATTCCACCAGGAATCAGAACGGGACAGAGCAATGCAAGAGCTGGATCTGCCTCCTCCAAGGCAGCACTTGCAAGTTCATCACTTGGTCCCGAAAGGGAGTGGTGGGAACTTTGGGCATGTAACCAGGCTGTGGTCTCAGGGTAACTTGAGAATCGGCCAGCCCAAACTCAAGGCACGATTAGCTGACCGAAAATGCCTGCAGGTTCCCAAACCTCTTGATGGATGTGAGCACGACAAGGAGCCCTGTCTTAAATGACAAGAACTTGAACTCAACTGAGTCAAGCGGCTCAAAGGGGGCTCCCCGTAGTCCCTCCAGGTCCATGACCAGGAGTGCTGTCTTAAATGACAGGAACTTGAACTCAACGGAGTCAAGCAGCTCAAAGGGGGCTCCCCATAGTCCCGCCAGGTCCACAGAGAGATCCCAAGAGGGAAAGAGGTGCAATCTGGAAGAATTTAATCTCCTAAAGCGGCCTGGCCCACAGCACTATTAGCCTTGGCAGCTAGGGCTGACGACAGCTTACAGGCTTCGGATGGGAGGCGCGGACGGTTCCTCCAGATGGCGGCGTTTTGCGGGCACAAGTGCACCGCAACCGCACGCTCCACCAGGGGAACATCGACTTATCACTTGGCTGCCCCACCATCGAGGGTAGTGAGGAGGGAAGAGCTCAAACATGACCGGGCAGTGTAAGGGGCCTTCCACGTCTTGGTGAGATCTTCATGAACCTCTGGGAAGAAAGGTACTGGGGCGGAGTGTGGCTGAGAGCCACGTCCGGAACCCAGATACTAATCGTCCAGCCTCGAGCATTTGGAGGATGGAGGCGAGTTCACCTCCAACCCAAAGCTCTTGGCGGCCCAAAGGAGCATGGCTGTCAACTCTGGCTCTGACTGTGTAGCCGGCGAGGCCCAGACACGTGAGACAGTGATAGTGTCCGTCATCAGAGGTAAGGAAACTACCGCACACAGAAGCACACGGTCGGAAAGACATCTCGAAAGACACTCTCGACCGTGCAAGCTGTAGGAAATTGCTCTTTTAGCTGGAGTGCCCAGGGATGGATCACATGACTTATCTGTGCTTAGGTGAGGCAAACACACCATTGAATGCACTGTTTTGACCAGTGACGGGCCGTGCAATTTACACCTAGGCCTTCAGTGGTGTCCTACATGAATTAATCCATCTCTTCATACCATCATAATGATGCCACGGCTATAGAAACCATAAATATTACACAGTAATGCAGTATAACAGGGCACTACATAACAGACAGGTATCTTATGTAGCGAGAATGAATGCCATTAC